CCCCCTCACTGCAGCAGAACCAACCTGCAGCTCTGCACACTCAGTCACAGCACAGAAGTGAGAACAGATGAGCCTACAGAACTCTGAAAAAAGGTGCAGAGGAGGAGGGTTAGAAGGAAACCCCCTCCCTGTGCATAACGTGTTAAAAGTAATAACAGTGGGAATGGGAGGAGGAGGAAAGCTGTGATTGATAAGCTGTGCTCCTCACCCACCACACGTCCAGCAGTTAGAGTGCACTCAGGATGAGAAGCCAAGAAGTTGTACTGCAGGCATGCTCACAGTCTGACCTCACCATTACAGCTGCACGTCATGCTTCTCACAGGGCAGAGCATGGCTGCTGAAAGGTCTGAAAACACTTCAGTTTGTGCCTGCCTGTTGTCTGAAGAGTGAAGTACTAAAAAAAATGAGCAAAAAAGCCCTCCAATATACAGAGCCTGAGGAAATGATGTAAGAAATAAAACTGCACTATTTTTCTTTGTTGGGAATGTACTATACAAATCTATTTAAAAAATATCTGCAAAATTTGTTGTATTTGTTACAATGTTCTGTCTAGTTGTATTTTATGAATATTGTGTATTAACTTATTTTTGTCAAGAGCAGACTATTCTCTTTATTGCTCAATTATATTTAAATGTAACATATAAATAAATACTTACTGTCGAGGCATTCTGTGGAGATCTTTGGAAACAATTTCTCAGCCCAAAGGGACCTTCAGAGACAGAACAGGGAGCCTTGGGGACAGGCTGTCTGCAAGGAGAGCGGGATGCACAATTAACATTTCTGTGATGAGCACACAAAGGCTTTGCACTAAGCAGCATTTCTGAAGGTCGCTGCCGAGCAGCTGCTCGCGGCCCTTACGTGACTTCCAGCACAGATGTAAGTCACACACGGAGCCCAGCAGGTGCTGAGCTGCAGCCAGCGCAGCCTTGGAGGAGTGTGAACAGAGTAGGCCTGCGACAAGTGCTAAAAAATAACAGTCTCAGGCCTGATCGTGCTGCAGCTAACGTTAAAAAAATCTATCCTGGAAGCCCAGCAGTGCTGTTAGATCCTCCTCCATCACTCCCTGTTTGTCCTCCAAAGCCCCCAGAAGACTCCTCCTGCAGTTCCTGTCCCTCTCCCCAAGCTCGTTGCCTTGCTGCTCATCTGCTGCCATCAGGTTTGGCAGAGATTGTTCTTCCACATTTTCAGGCAACCTTCGTTTGTGGTTCTGCTGGGAGCTCTGCCCAGAGGTGGCTCCCACAGAGCAAAGGAGAGCTTTCCCAACCCACTGCCTGGGAAGCCAGAAGCACCAACAGCCTCTGGCTGCAGCGCACGCAGTCCCTCAGCCATCACTGCTGGCTGTTAGAGCTGTTAACCACGTATTCACCCTCACACAAGAACATAAGCCCTCTGAAATGGATCTGGGGACACGTTGGCTTAAACGATCTTCCAGTGCTTGTGTCCTTCACCTTCAACTTGTCACTTTGCTTTCTTTTCTACAGGGCCTTCTTAGTACCAGCGTCCCCCTCACGCACCCCAAGCACTCTTCTGCAAGCTCTCAGAAGCTTTTGAGCTAGATATTCCAACTTAGAAAGCTGTCCCCCAAAGCTGCAGAGTGCCTGCAGCAACTGGAATTCATTTCAGCAAAACGCAGCATCCCAGACAAGTTTCATCACACTGAAACTCTCACTGCTACCCACTGCTAGCAGAAATTAAAAAAAAAAAAAAAAAAAAAAAAAAAAAGAAAGAAAAAAAGCCCACAGATCTCCCCTGCTTCCTGCTCTCTTTTCTGTAACCCAGACTCAGCCTGAGCGGCCTGCTTGGTTAAGTTTCACTGTCTCCAGTCTACCACTCATTTTGCCAAACACAGCAACCTGGGCCCTTAAAGTTCACTGCCACATGTCACTGCAGCCTGTTAAGTCAGTCCCAGGTCTGCCTTCCACCTTCAGAAGCTGTACCCATCTAGAAATGCTATACAGTTTCACAAGCAAAATTTTAAAAAGTAGCAAAAAAACCAAAAGCAATAAAACAGCAAAACTTCCTCCAGCTCCCAAAGGCCCTCTGACATCGCTGCCTTCAGCAGGAACACCTCCCCAGCACCAGCCCTCAGCACCACAGCCACCTTTGGATGAGCTGCCTGCCACAGCTGGGCCCACACATCCATTTCCTTCCAATGGTGTCCCGGAGGATCTCCCCGCCCCTCCTAAACAGCTCCAAAGATGACTCTGAGGAGGCTGAGACTGGGGGTGTTCAGAGGCTTTGTGACTATTTCTGCTCCACAAAGCCTCCCAGCGCCCAGGCACAGTCCTGACACCACTCGGAGCAGCAGCCCAGCACGTACCCATGCAATTCAGAGGAAACAAGCAAGCAAGAGATAATGCTCTGTGCCTCAGGCCTCAGCCAAGCACTGCTACCATTAACAGCTCCCCTCCACAGCTTTTAAAAATTCCTAGGAGGGAGAGAACAAGCAACGAAACGAACAGTGATGGAAGAGCTCTGCCTCACCTGGCACACCAGGTATGCATCACAGCAGTGCAACCATGGCACTGTGACATGGAAGAAAGCAAGCCCAGGCAGTTCCCAGCACACCTCAGCAATGACACTTTTGATATAACGGAGTTTTGCATTATTTTTAAGCCTTAAGTTTTTCATTTGATTCTGATGTATGCTTGGACATAACAGCTGCTACCCCTCTGTGAGGTTTTATGAACTTACAAGCCCTGCACTGTGCTATTTTTTTTTTTTTCCCCCCCCACCAAGTCCCACCTCCCTGCAAACCCAGAACACCATGACGTGATGGAGAGTACAGCAATAACAGCATGGTTGCAAAGCCCTTGGCTGCAGCAAATGAGAATAAGTCCAAATGCAGCAGCTATGGACACAAAAACAAAGGAAAAGAGCTGCTTACCTTTGGAAGGTCTCAGGTAGGCAAGGATCTCCAGCGAGATATCCTCACCTCCACTGCCAACCTCTAAATGAAGTCTGAGAAGGGGTGGATGCTGGCTCCAGGCCTCCTGGTCATTCAGTACATTGCACACAGCTGAGATCCCCTGGGCTGGCCTTGCCTTCCTACCAGGTGCTCCATCACTGCTTCAAAATGTGACTTAGCATTTTCACTATGCCCCCACACAACAGCCACACTAAAACATTCTTACTCCACCTTACCCTGAACCCCCCTCCCTCCTGTCATTCATTGAACCAAGCTCATTAAACATCAGGTGGTACAACCTCTGAAGATGGGGAGGGGGGTGGACGTGAAGAAGCCAAAACAGTTTTTGAGGAATGCAGGTAGAATAAGATCTCCTTATAAAGTGCTGCTAATCAAGTGTCACAGTAATTGCAGCTGCTGGCTTCTGCGAGCCCAGTCAAGCCTCCTGTCCACACAGGTGCAGTTGAGGCAGCATCAGGTGGCACAGCTGAACAATCACCAGCACAACTTTGAATCCTGCTGCATTTGGTTTTTCATCCCAAAAAGCCACTGTTTCCCTTTTCAGAATGTTTTAGTTGGATCTACTGTAAGATCTGACCAGAGAACCAATTCTAAGCACTGAGATGAAAAGTATTCTGCACATAAAGCATGTAGACAAGAGAGGGGACAGGTCATTTCATACCCATAGGAGCAAATTACTGGGATACCCTGACTATCTAATAGCACCTAATTAACCAAACTCAGTGTTGGCACCTCCTGAAGGAGGCTAAAAAACAGCACAGTGATGTCTGAGCAAAAGGCCCTTATGAGCAGTTCAGAAATCAACTTGGGTGTAATTAAGAGCATTTGAGAGAATGGTACCCCACATGCACACGGCTGGAGCAGTGTGGTGTGACCTGGCTTACCTGGCTCTCAGTCTGCGCTCAAAGGACCCAGGAGGCTTTTCTCAAAACCTGAGACATCCAACTTGCTGATCTGCAGGAGAGAGCATTCAAATCTCAGCTAGGTGAAGCAGGTTTAGCCAAGCTGCATTTCCAGTTCCTCATCTCACAGGCATGGATGCTGCAGAGCCCCTCTCCCAGAGCACCCGCAGGCGCACCCCCAGCCCAGCGCTGGATGGCGCCGTCCCCAGGAGCCAAAGCCTCACCTGGCACACGTGGTCACAGCGCCGATGGCATCATCGGCCAGCCTTCCCCCTTCGACAGGCATTACATTTCTTCTTCCACATTTCTACATCTTCTTTAAAGGATGCCAGTAAATTAATGCTTCTTTGCTGATCAGTGTTCGAGTAATATCGATTTTCCAAGTTTTGATACACTCTGGAGCCGGAAAGGAGCGGTCGCTCCCAGCCGAGAGCAGCACAGCACGGCCGGCCCGGAGCAGCAGGAGCAGCGCTGGGCTCAGCCTGGCGGCGGCTCTGCAGCTCATGAGCAACGGCACAACGTTTGGGAGAAGACTGAGAGAAAAGTCTGCGTAATTAGAAAGTGACAAAGGAAGCGAAATATTTGCATGCAAAGCGCGAGGATGGAAGGCAGAATCCCGCATTTCGTTTCTCCCCGCGGCCGCCGTTACGGGAGCGGCCGCCTTTTGCAAGCGGCCCCGCCCGCTCGGATCCCGGCGGCAGCGCTCCGCCGCAGCCGCGCACGGAAACGATCCGTGTTTGCTTTGCAGCTCGCACGGCACGCGCGGCTCCCGCAGCACGGCTCTGTCGGAACGGCGCGATGCTCCCCGCACGGCTCGCGGTGCCGCTCCGCTGCGCTGCCCTTCACCTCGCGGCACCGCCGGCTGCTCCCCGCCCGGGGCTCCGCGGGAGCTCCCACCGCAGGGCAGCTCGGCCCGCAGCGCCGAACGCAGACGCGAAAACACCTGCGGCTGCCCGGGCCTTCTGCTGGCACGGCCGCGCTGAGCGCAGCTGCACGCACGGGGCGGGCCGGGTGCCCGGTGCTCTGAGCTCTGTGCCCGGTGCCGCCCGGGAGCACAACGCGGCCATCCGGGGAGGGCAGGAGCCTCAGAGCTGCTCGGGAGAAGCCCCGTTCTCTTTTTTAATGTGGCACGGTTACCAGTAACTAAGATTATTCAACAACAGAAGAGATTTCTTGTAAACTTTGTATTTATTGATTATTTTTTTTTTGGGACAAATTAGATCTTCTGAATCCCCAAGTGTACACATATATTTATTTATATATAGCTTTCTCCATAGGGAAAACACATATCAAAGGAGGAGAGACATTTCTAAAGTGCCCCTTGTTATACAGTACTGAACATTTCTAAGAGCATGAGCACAAATCTGCGGTTTCTGGGCAGGAATGACAGCCATGGGGAAAGGGCTGCACCTCGCCGTGTCCCACAGAACAGAAGTTGGCCAGCTTTAAAACACAACAGAAATGAAGAAATGCTTCTCGCAGCCACGGAGAAGGCAAAGAATTGCAGTGCTGACGGCCAAAAGATGGGTCGGCTGCTGGGCAGGGCGAGCCTTGGAGGGTGAAGGTTTGCACCGAGGGTGGGAGACAGTGCTGAGGGGGAGAAGCTGACAGCAGAGCAGGGCAAAGTGACACCACCACAGCGGGAGGAGGGAGGGAGGCAGGGGGACCACGACCACAGGGAAAAGGCCATTAATAATCCACCGGGAAGTCACTGCCCGCATCAGAGAACAGGAACCCTTCTCTCACTCTACACACTCTGTGCAGCTCAGTATGGCTGTGCTGCCGCCAGTGAGCCAGCATCAGCTCTCATGGGATAAGAAGCCAATGGAATTAAGGTGGGAGTCAAGTTTTTCAATACAAGAAGTAAGCCGTCATACAGAACTGCACATATCAAGAGCAGAATGGTGCGTGCTGCCCCTGTGCCTCCCTGACAGCGCCTGCAGAACAGGATCCACGTCCAGGTGCTGAAGGGGCTTCTGGTGCTCCTTTGCTGTTGTGCTCACAGCAACCACACGCTGCTGAGTTCCCAATCTGGGCTTTTTCTCCTTCAAAAGCTCAGCCATCGCTGGCCAGAAATGAGGCTTCCTGCCCCCATGTTGTAATTTCACATGGCTCTGCGAGGTGGAACAGCAAAGAACAGCAGAGGCCACTTCCTCCTCCTCTAAACAGCTGCAGAAGACAAAGCCATGCCTAAGGAAGGAGATGACCCTGTTGTGTTCATTTTTCAATGTTCTCCGATGAAGAGCGACTGTCCCAGCATTAATGACCATCTCTAGAAACACCAGCTGAAGGTCCCATGGGCACACAGAACACGGCTCTCGTGGCCAAGCACCTGAACGTACAACAGAGACAGTAAAGACCTGGCAACTCTCATCCTACTGAAACGTGATTGAGATAAGGGAACCGTACAGATTCTGCTGTAGGAACTGTGCTAACAGCACAGGCGAGAGCTTCCTCAACTTGAGGGTGAAAGAAAACAATAGAGTGTTAACTACTGAGCAACTCAGGGCTTAATAAATACAGATTTGATGCAACTCTGAGCCGTGTCTACTCAGAAGGCACAATCACACTTTCCGTATGCAGTAATCACTGCTGCCTCCAGCACAGTTTCAGTGATAGCACGGACAGTACAGAACCGGCAAGCGTTTTTCATTATACCCCTGGCACAGCTATCCACAGCCAGGCAAAAGTCCTGCTGGAGCCTACGGGCGTTCTGGGCACACTACAGACCAAGCTTTCCAAGATCTCTGGAAGATCTCGACGCAGAACCAGTTAGCTGGCGAGCAATGAAGTGGCCTCATGGCTGCTGAAGCCTGTCTTACCTCCTCCTGTGAATGGGTGTCGTTTCCAACACGGGTTGGATGCTAGCAGGGAGCGTCCTCTCATCCTGCCTGAAGGAGAACGTCCACTGGCTACAACAGGGATTTTGCCTGCATCGAGGACTGCAGGGCTTTTGTTTTTAGAAAGAAAGATGGAAAAGAGATCATTAAGAGTAGTACTACATGCAAAATGGTGCAAGGAACAGACAGACCATTAACAGTAGTGCTATAGACAAAACGGTGCTCGGAGCAGAATAAGTCAGCAATAAAACACATCCAAAGCAAACTCCCCAGCAGGGACCAGCACACAGTCAGTATTCCTCACCTCGTGACTCAGTGGGAGTTTGCCATTAACTGCAACGAGACCTCACTACCATTAGAGATGAACAAGAGTTACTTAGGATGCGGAGTTTCTTTGGCGCACGTCCCACTGCAGTCTGTAAGACACACTGTCAGGTTATGCATACTGAGCTCATACTGTTCTCCTACAATAGACCAGATTTTTTTTTCCCCAAAAAGAAAAAAAAAAAAGGTACCGAAATTGCTTGCACTTTGGAAGATACCACATGCACGTTTATCACTTCTCTAATCCTTTGACTTCCACACTAAAACGTGGTCTGTTCAGGAACAAACTAACAAAGAAAAGTAAACCATGCAGCAAAGCAACTTAATTTCTGTTGGTCTTCTTGCCCCACGTTCCACTGTTATCAGGCCAGATAAACACACTGTAAGTCACCAGCACAAAGAGTCTGCCTCTGCAGAAACAAAAACCAACCCAGAAAATCTAAGGCTAGGGACTGGCACGAGGAATCCTGAAACAGTCCTGTAATTCAATTATCAAAATTATCAGAAATCAATTATTGCATTAACAAAACCAAACCAAACAATAAACCCCCCAAAAGCATCCAAACAGAACACTGTCATCAATTAAAATAATAAAGAACAATACTTTTTTTCCTTTTTGACATAGCTATAAAAATCAAGTCATTTATAAAACTGCAACAAATGAAGTCCGGTTGTGTATTCTTTTTCCTTTTATTAAACAGGACAGAGAACTTCCTTAAAATGCCATAACAAGTCACAGTGATTTTAGATGGTTTTTTGAAATGTAATATACTGATGGGAAGTATCTCGAACGTTCAATTTGCTTTGTTTTTGTCACTGTCTGTGTACCCTGGTCCACCAAACCATCTACGTAAAGTTTCTTGTTTAGAGAGGACACTGTGTCTTCTTCCTCCAAAACTGAATTTTGACTAATAATCCTGCAAAATAATCAACCTTACAAAAGGCCTTCTTCAAATGTTATATTTATATATATATGTATATACATATATATACACACACATACACACATATATATAAATATAGACTTTTATGATTTTTTCCCATTCTACGCAACGTCTCAATAAAGAGATCAGCAGATTTATTCTACAAAGAAGCAACACATAAAAGGGGAAAATTAAAGTCTTAAGAACATCATAACCATATTTCACCGATTACACATAAAAGGAAAAAAAATCACCATGAACAACTGTCTGTTTAGTTTTCTCAGATTAACAAAACTCAAGTGCAGAGGCCCCTCTGGCCGCGCCAGGCCGGCTGCCGGGCAGTGAGCACAGCCCCCCCGCCCTGCCCCTCTGCACCTCAACCCGCGGAGTCGGACGTGGTTGGAATGTACGGAGTTTAGGAAAGGTTCCCAACAGAGACTTCACCTTCGGACGATTCTCTCTAGGCCAGCTTCAGTGTGCTCACGGGGAATGACGGCATGGTTACCATAGTTACTGGATTTAGGACCGTCTGCCCAACCAGCTGTGGGTGATGGACAACTTGGGTTCCTACAGCCGGCTTGGCCATCACCGCTTGCTGGCCAAGACTTGTGGTTCCATTCACTTGCTGGTGAGAGATCGTGTGAGCGATGTGGCTCACCACGGGCTGGCTGACGGCCACGGGCTGAGGGTAGATGGGCAGCTGCTGGCCGAGGTGGGCCATGTGGTTGATGGTGGCTGGGTGCACAGTGATGTGGCCGATAGGCTGAGCAGCAGTGGTAAGTTGCACAGGGCTGGACGTGGAAGGTGCAATGTGAGCGATGTGCTTGGTCTGTGGACCCTGAATGACGTGGTTGACAGTCTGAATGACCGACGCGTGGGTAGTGGCGGTGTGGGCGATAACAGTCGATTGCACTGTCGAAGCCGCCACGATGTGAGTCTGTGCTGGGACAATCGCCTGCGGCTGGACCAGTGCTTGTGTCTGGATGGAAGGCTGTGCGTGGGCTGGGGGCTGTTTCTGCTGGATAGACAGGTGCTGAGGCAAAACCGCCAGGTGATGGGAAGCAGCGTTTGAAGGGACGGCTTTCAGGAGCTCTGGGTGCTGGCGCTGGGCTAGTTTTGGTAATGAGTTCACAGGCCTGTCATCTTCCATGTCTTCATCCATGTTGTCTTCACCCTCTGGAAAAAGAATGAAATGAAGACACTCCCATAAAAAAAAAAAAAAAAGCAGAGCATGAACTGGGCTAACCAGCCTCTCTTACAGTGCAGGACAAGCGGCAGGGAGGACAGCAGGAGGAGTCACTGAGCTGAAGGAGCACAGCACAGCACAGCACAGCACAGCACAGCACAGCACAGCACAGCACAGCACAGCACAGCA